CTGCAAGAGTAAGAGTAAATCTGATCTGATGTTTTGATCTATACTGTGTCAGAGCTCACTGTCATTTAGATTTCGAAGTGATAGTACTTTGATACACTATGCATTTGTTCAGTCTCTGCATTTGAGTAAATTCAGCTTCAGACATTACAGAATGCTGCCTATAACTTGTTTATTTCATTCAGGTCACATTATTGATAAATTCACTCTGAGCTCGAAGGAGCATAGTTTACATGAGAAGCAGACTCTCAAATAGTTTACTTTCTGAAGTGACTGAGTGTTAATTTCACTAGTGTTGACTTAGTCTCGCAGAAGATAAGATCGCCTTATAGTCTTCGGGGACTGAAGATTATTTTTTGGTAGAAGCATTGCAGTGTTTTCGCAATGAGTAGCTGACTGAATTTTACATCACATGGACCGCAGTACTTACCGTGTAGTTCCACAGCTGTTTTCATAAAGACGAAAGAGCCAACCCTGAATAATTCATGCGTCATTTTGTGAAGAAGGATAAAAGCACATGTGTGGTTGTAAAATTAAAATTTTATCTCTTTATTTCTTCTCCTGAAAATTTGTATATTACTAGGTGGAACCGAAAATTCCGGAACAGGTATTAAATTGTATATGTAAGTATACAAATTAGTTGAGGATAAAATCGTTTGTTTATAAAATATTTTTGATTACATGAGTATATTTTCACTGCGTGTATATAACTGTGTAAAAATTATATGTTTCTTAAATATGTTTGAAAGATGTTTGAAACTTGATTATACTATTTATATTGGCAATAGCACTTTGAATATGCCAGTATTACATTAAAATAGAGTTGTATTTTTGATATTTAAATACGCTTACCACTTTAAAATGCCACTTCGAGGAATGAACATGGTGTAACATTACTAGTCATCATATGTGTGATGCCAAATCCTTTTTAAATAAAATTATGTGCTTATTTATTATTATGTTTTTTGCGTGTATTTTTATTTCTTTTTCTTAAAAAAGTAACATTTTTGGCATGAGATCATTACTGTAGGTTTTTGATGAATATAATGAATGTATGACCCTGTGAATTTTGCATGGTCTTCAAGAATTTTCTGCGTATAGTTTAGCTGCAATTAACAGAAGAGAGAACTTCGTGAAAAATACCATGTGTGTTGATATATTGCATAGTTTTTCTGAGATCTTGAATAATTCACTTTTTTTTTAAAAATGACCAAAACACTTTCTGGAATTATCTTTGAATAAAAGTTTGTATATTATTTGTTCATTGTCCTGTTTTTGTCATTTAGTTTGATATTGTTAGTTCCGTTTGCAATTTTCTATCTTTGTAAATGTGCATTTTTTTTAACTTCACAATTGCATTAATTTGTTGCCAAAGTAACCTAAAAGGCGTAATCACAACCGTGAGTCACTGAAAAATGTTCTCCAAGAAACGCTACTCAACTGGCGAAAAAGGCTCAGGATTGGTGAAATTTTAAAAGTTTTATATTCCTTTGTTCCTAATACAGACACAAGATAGAAGATCACTGAACCAAACTTCGAAGGGATTTACCCCCAATCAGCCAGTTGCTCACTTTAACCAGTTTCCAAACAGCTGAATGCAGATCCCGACGCTTATAGTTGAGACTGCAAAAGACTCGCGTTTGTTATCTATTCCGGGACACAAGAGTGCAGCAAAACCTGCTGCCAATCGTTGTTTCAGAAATTAACAATCCAGCAGCTTCAGTATGCCAAGACTAAACCCCATCTTCCATACAAATTTCCAGTAGCACTTACATAGAAAATAATAATAAATTCAATAAATAACATAAAATTATCTCGAGGACAATACGCATCACACATATAGCTGAGTTATATATTTTAAAGTGGGTTTATTTTCCTTATAAAAAGGAATACACTTAACTAGAAAGTAATAAGAAAGTAGAATTTAATCATAATTTACCACTAAATATAGTATATTAATTTTCCTTCACCTTCTTTATTTGTAGTATTTTAAAACTTTTACAATAGTCGAGATATAAGTCACAACATAGCAGTTCACCCATTTAAGGTATAAATTTCGCAATTTTGGTGTATCAATGCATTTAATTTTAGAATCATTTTCAGTTCCCATATCCATTAAGTACTTCACTCCCTGTTTCCAAAATTAAATAATTTAGGGTTACTAATTTATTTATATTTAGGTGGATTTTCATTGTAAGTGGAAATAAGATTGCTTATCAGAAAAAGAGTTTTATGCTCAACTTATGAAAAACATGAATTCCTGCTATAGTGTACTAGCCTGTCTATCACACAATGTGAGGGGAGGGAGGAACTTGGAGCGCCGCTAGCTGTTTCTGACAGCAGGCAGCGAAGAAAATAAAATATGTTATTCTTTCCTGATCACTTGCACTCAATGTCTCCATGAGTCCTCCACATCTATCAATTCAGATTTATCTAAACATTTTAAGTTTTTAAAATAGAATCTATTAGGTAATGTGTCTGAAGTAATTTAGCACATCAAATACCTCTTTCTTCTTGAAAGCTTTGTTGAAGGTTGTAATTATCAATTACTAGATTCATTTAATTGAAGTGATTAGGGCCTTTGGAATATGTTTCTAACAATTGTTTCTGCTGGTGTTTCCAGTTGGGAAATGTCACCTAGCCTTGGGTTTTTTTTAAAGGTATGTCTCAGCACTCCCTGTTTGTTTGTTGGTTGCGCTTAGAGGAAGGTTGGGAGGCAGAGAGTCTCTGCTCATCTTGGCCAAGGAAAGATATAATGAGGGTTTGAGCAGAGCTCACGCTTGGGGTCCCAGATCTGCATCACGAAATGAAAAACTCGCCTGTCTCCATCAGGCGTGTTTGGTGTGACGCACCCTCCTGACTCTTACTGACTCAAGTGCAAAATAGCGGGTCAGTATGTCACTACAAGCTAAGATACGTATGCCTACTGGCGCAACTCGACTCCCGAGTGCTTACGTTGCTCTCTCTGACCCCATTCATTGTGTGGGAGCACATATCTCTATTCTGATTAAATATAACAGCCGGGTGATGCCACTCCTAGCCTCCCAGGTACTGCAACAAGTAACGCCCCACTGAGGCGTACATACCATTTTGGCAGAAGCGAGCAGAGGTTATCCTATATATCTGCCCAGAGCATACACCGCACAGCAGTGTAGCCCGGACTCAGCTACGCTCGTTCACTAAGCAGAAAGAGGGATAAACATGTGTGTGGCACAGAGTAACATACCCACAACTCACTCCCAACTGGGAGGGGAGCAGTGATTGAGCTGACAGCAAGTCCTAATCTGGGGGAAAAGGCCCAGGTTGTCGTCCCGACTCAGGCGCACAATCCACATGTGACCTGAGGGTGCACGTCATTCCCCTGGTGACACTGCCTACCTTCCATGCACAGACCTCTGCAAACAGGGCTGACTCCTGAGCCTCAAGTGAGCGTATCCATTCTCATTTGCTCTGAGCTCTGTCGGGATACTTACAAACAATGTGGCCATCAGACACATGCTGAGCAGCAGTCACTGGACGCAGAGGGACTTTCTGAGTGACTCTTTCAAACAGAATTGGATGGGGTGCAGGAGACAAAGATTTCAGGCAGAAGAACCAGTTTGACCATACGTGAGGACACATATTTACTGTAAATTATATATATATATATATATATATATATATATATATATATATATATATATATATATATATAGAGTGCTCAAATTTCCAGATGGTGTCTCAGGGAATTGTTAAAAGACTTGCGAAAGTGTAAATCTGCATATTGGTCACACTCAACAGTGCATGGCTCGCCTGTATTCCCAGTACGCAAGGCTGAGGAGGCTGAGAGGTTGTGAGCTGTAGATATGCCTTGTTCTCTGCCCCAGCGCTCGCCTCCAATGCAACCCCGAGCAGAGTAGCTACGCGCCATATACGTCAAATCACTTTCCAAACCTTTCTGAAATTGTTCATCAAAAGGCCAAAGTACACAGACAGCAGATACAATGCGCCTTGGAAATTCGCCTTTCATATATACTATCAAAGCGATACTTGCTGGGGGCCACAAGAATTACCTAAATCCAGTGGCAGACCAGAAAGGCAAGGTCCAAACAGACAAAACAGTCTTAAAAACTCACGCGGGTTGCTGCAGTGTTTAGATTCACGCTGCAGGACGGCGTTTGGCAGGCTTCCTGACGTGGAAATTAATTAGCATTAAGGCGGAACCTGCTGAGATTTCAAGACGACTCTTCGCGTCCCGCCTTAGAGTCTTTTCTGTGCCCATGCCCTCCCGCGTTGCCTGCGGCACCAATCACTGACTATGTCCTGGCAACCACTCTCACTCCATATTCGAGGCTGTGCGGAGTCGCAGGAGTGCCGGCACCCCGCATAAGGTCGAGGAGGCGGGGCAGAGGCCCGCAAGCCAACAACAGGAGAGCTGGCCTGTCTCTGCCAGAATTTTGTCCAGCACTCAGACGAATTTGGGGTGGTGAAGGCCTTTTATTGTCCAGGTGACCTGAGCAAGACCTTAAACCCGGCCTGTGCGGGCGGATTGACGGGGGGGGGGCGGGAATGCACCTGGTAGGGCATCCAGGGGGAGGGCGGCGAGGGGCAAGGAAAATGGCGTGAAATTCTTAAACGATGGCGGGGTCAAGGTTTCAACCATAGTCATCCCGAGACCGGACGTATTAGACGAGAGTTATACAGGAGGATTGAGAGTCTTACAAAATAGAAGCATCGCACAGACAAGACACATCCAATCTCCGCCTGTGATGCTTCTATTTTGTAGAACTTTCCTCAATCACTCCGTCAACTTGTGCTGTAACTCTCGTCTAATACGTCCAGTCTCGGGATGACTGTAGACTTTCACAGAGCAAGTGACAAGCCCCAGCCCAGTACCATCGTTTAAGGATTTCACACCATTTTTCCTCCTGCCCCTCGCCGCCCTCACATTGGGTAAGGATGCCCCTACCCGGCCCTGAGCGTGCATTCGTTCCCGACCCCCCCGTCAATCCCGCGGTGCACAGGCCCGGAGACCGCACGCCCCCGCTTCCTCACTTAAGATCTTCTCTTCCGATCCCTTACCTGGACGCTCGCGCGGAGACCACCACCTTCACCACCCAAATTCGGTCTGGTGCCGGACCAGGAATTCGCTTCTTCTGGCTGAGGGGTTAGGCCGGCTCCTCCTTTTGTTGTTATTGGCTTGCGAGGCTCCTGCCCCGCCTCCTCGACGCTGTGATTGGTCTATACGGTTGCCGGCCTCCTGCGACTCGCGCAAACGAATCCCTGGCGGTGCCAGCCATTGGCGCTCCGAATGGAGTGAGGATAGTGAGACCGGGACGCCCAGTCAGTGATTGGTGCCGCAGCGCGCCTGGAGGCGGGGCAGCACGGTAGTGTGCAGTGTTCTGAGGGGGCGGGCACAGAGGCTTCTAAGTGCGGGACGCGAGGAGTCGTCGCCAGGGCAACTTAGGTTCCGCGCGAAGTGTAGTGGGCACAGGTTCCGCGTCAGGGAGAGCGTACCAGAGCGCCGTCCCTGCGGCGTTGAGATGTAAACTTTGCAGCAGCCACGTGGCCAAAACGCGGGGAGAGAATAGCATGAGTTTTAAAATCTGTTTTGACTCTGTTTGCGGACACCCCGCCTTCCTCTGGTCTGCCCTGGATTTAGGTAATTCTTGTGGCCCCAGCCCAAGTATCCTTTGATAAACCCCTATATATGAAAAACGGAGAATTTCAAACACATTGTATCTCCTGCGGCAATACTATTATGCCCAAATGGCAGATGAGCAAACCCAAGGCTCAGAAAGGTTTAGAAAATGATTTGACGTACTAGATGGCACGTAGCTACTCCTGTATCCGGGGGTTGCGTACCTGTGGAGGACGGTGAGCGCCAAGGGGCTGGGCAGAGGGTTGAAACTTAAAACTTTATCTACAGCTCTAGCCTCATCTCAATCTCCTCTCAATACTAAAATACTGCGTACTAGGGTACAAGAGCAGTATGCACTGATGGTGTAATAATATACGAATTTACACTTTCACTTAAGAGTGTCTTTTAACAATTCCCACAAGGACACCATCTGGGCTAGTTGAGAGCACTTTCTATATATATATATATATATATATATATATATATATATATATATATATATATATATATAGTAATTTCTGAAATAGAATGCTGTTGTTCCTCCCTCGGTATGGTCAAACTGGTTCTTCTGCCTGAAATAACCGTCTCCCTTACCCATCAATTCAGGTGTTTTACCTGTTTGAAGAAGTCCGCTCTGGAAGGATGTCCCTCCTTAGGTCCAGTGACTTACTACTCTTCTTACTTGTCCCATGTACTCTGATGGCCACATTGTTTGTAAAGTATCACGACAGAGAGCTCAGAGCAAATGAAGAGAAATGGAATCTGTCCCTTGGGGGCTCAGAGTCAGAGCCCTGTCTTTAGAAGGTCTGTGCACATGGAAGGTGAGCAGTGTCCTGGAGGGAATGGCGTGATGCACCACTCAGGTCCCCTTCGTAAGGACTGGCAGGCGTGCAGCCTGAGTCCAGGGACCGGCTGCTGCAGGAGTGTCAAGGCCCCGCCCCTTCCCCCAAATTAGGACCACTGTGCTCCAAGGTCCACTGCTCCCCTCCAGTTGGGGGTGGTTGTGGGTATGATTGCACTGCAGCCCACTTTTGCCTCTGCCCCATCCCTCTGCCCTCTGCCAAGTAGTGTTAACAGCATGCCCTGTGGGTCCAGACTTACCAGGCTTTGTCACTTGTCAGCAGTGTGCTTCTGGGTAAGATACTTCTCGAAGTCTTATCTGCTACTTCTGAAAAATGAGTATACCTACACCTCAATGAGCGTTATGACAGTTAAATGAGATCGTGGATTAAGGCCCTTTGCACAGTACCTGGAATACAAGAAGTGCTCAGTAAATGCTGGCTTAGAATCCCATCACAGTAGGTATATTTAATCAGAACAGGTATATGTATGTGGGGCGGGGGGGTCATTCAGAGCTGAAAGGAAATACAGATATGGCAGCTCCACTCACTTATTTCCCTACAATGAAGAAATGGGAGGTTCAGAGAAGAGCAACAATAGCGGTAATTTATCGAGGGTCCTCTGTATTTCAAGTACATTAGTATACATCATATCTTAACTTGGTAAGTGACATACATACTACTGTTGCTATTTTACGGAAGTCAAGATAAGGGTCAGAAGTTAAGTAATGCGTTTAAGGTCACACCAAGCACCTGATAGGCAGCAGTTTCTTCATGATGCAGGTCCTGGGACCTAGCATTGAGCTCTGCTCAAACCTCGTGCTGTCTTCCTTGGCAAGATGTCTAAGACAACTCTCTGCCTTAACCTCTGGCCTCTCTTTTGCAATAACCAAACAAGCAAGGAGTGCTTTTAAGTACCTTTAAAAAAAACCCAAACTAAGGTGTTTCCAACTGGAAACACCAGCAAAGGCTGGTGTTAGGAAGAGCACATATTCAAAGGCCCTGAAATCATAATTATGAATCTAGCTATTGACAAGTCTTGGCAAACTATTTTATTCCATAGCTATTAAAGCTTCAAAGAAAGAAAAAGAGGTATTTGACATGCTAAGTACTTCAGATTTTGTTACCCTAATAGATTCTATTTTTTAAAAAGCTTAAAAATGTTTAGATAAATCTTTAATTGATAGATTCATGGAGAGTTTCATGAAACATTAGTGCTTTGGAAGTGATCAGGAAAAGATAACATGACACATTTTTCTCGCTGCCACTGTCAGAAACAGCTAGCAGCGCTCCAAGTTCATTAAACCCTCCCTCACATTTGTTGGTGATGGATGGGCTTGGAGCCACACTATGGCAGAAATTCATGTTTTCATAAGTTGAGCATAGGCTTTTTTCTTTTTCTGATAAACTTAATCTTATTTCCACTTACAATGAAAAATCCACCTAAGTATAAATAAATTAGTGGTAACCTAGGGCTGTTGGTTTGGAGGAAACAGGGAGTGAGTACTAATGGATATGGGGTTTCTTTGAGGATGTTGAAAATGTTCTAAAATTACTTGTGCAGTGATGGTTGCAGTTCTGTGAATACATGAAAACCACTGAACTATACACCTTAAATGGGTGAACTGTATGGTATGTGACTTATATCTCATTAAAGCTATTGTAAAGTTTTTTAAAATGCTACAAATAAAAAAGAAAATTGAAGGAAAAAATTAATGTACTGTATTTGAGGTGGTAGGATTATGATTAAATTCTACTTTCTTGTACTTTCTAGTTAAAGTATGTATTCCTTTTATAAGGAGAAAATAAACCCACTTTAAAAGCTATATATAACCTCAGCTATATGTGTGTGTGCATGTGTGTATCCTCAGATAATTACATTAGTTGACCTATTGAATTTAGTATTTTCTATGTAAGTGCTACTGAAATTTGTATGTGGAAAATGGAGGTTTGGGTCTTGGCATACTTGATACTGGATTGTTAATTTCTGAAGCAACTGATTAACAGCAGGTTTTATATACCTCTTGTGGTCCCAGGTCATTAACAAAGCAGAGAATTTTTGCAATCTCAACTATGGCGTCAGGATGCAGTTCAGGCTGTTTAGGCTTGGTTAAAGGTGAGGCAGCTTTTGACACAGTTGGGTTAAGTCCCTTCAGGAGTTTGGTTCAGTGTTATCTGTGTTATCTGTATCTTGTGTCCTGCCCATATTAGGAACAAAGGAATATAAAAACTTTAAATTTCACCAATCCTTGAGAGCCTTTTCCTTGACAGTTGAGGTAACTTTTTCTTGGAGAACATTTTTCAATGACTTCACAGTTATTGATTTAACAGACCTGCCTTAGAGGTTACTTTGGCAACAAATTAAAAATACTGAATTGTGAAGTTAAAAAAAATGCACATTTTACAAAAAAATAGAAAAACCAAACAGGGGACTTTCTTAATATCAAACTAAATGATAAAAACAAGGACAATGTGAAACAAATAATATACAAACTTTTATTCAAAGATAATTCCAGAAAGACGTGTTTTGGTCATTTTTAAAGTGAGATTAATTCAAGATCTCAGAAAAACTGTATCTTATCAACACACATGGCTACTCACAGAAAGTTCTCTCTTCTGTTAATTGCAGCTAAATTTATACACACAGAAAAAATTCTTAAGACCATGCAAATTCAGTTGAATTCCATACATTCATTATATTCATCAAAAACCTGCAATAATGATCATGCCAAAGTGTTACTTTAAGAAAAAAAGTAAAAATACACACCAAAACATGACCAAGATTAAACCAAAGAAAATAATAAATAAGCATAATTTACATTTTATTTAAAAAAGTTTGGCATCACACATATTCAAGTGTGTTACACCATGTTCATTCCTCAGAAGTGGCATTTTAAAGTGTTAAGCATTGTTAAATATCAAAAAATACAACTCTGTTTTACAATGTAGTACTGGCATAATTCAAAGTACTGTGCCAATTATAAATAGTATAATCAAGTTTCAAACATCTTTTCAAACATATTTAAAGGAAAGCATATAGACACACAGTTGTATGCACACCAGTTAGTATACTCATGTAATCAAAGATATTTTATAAAAGCAAACAGTTTTATCCCTCAACTAATTTGTATACTTACATACAATTTAATACCTGTTCAGATTTTCAGTTCCTGTGTATACAGATTTTCAGGAGAAGGAAATAAAGAAAGATAAAATTTAATTTTACAACCACACATATTACTTTATCCTTCTTCACAAAATAACGCATAGTTATTCAAGGTTGATAACTCGTCTTTATGAAAGCAACTGTTGTCTAAGGACTACACAGTAAGTACTGCAGTCCATGTGTCTTATTAAAATTCAGTCAGCTGCTGCTCATTGCAGAAAAAGCCTACACAGTGCTTCTACCAAAAATAATCTTCAGAATCTGAGGCCTATAAAGGCAGACGATCTTATCTTCTGCAGAGACTTAAAGTGCAGCTGCAAGTGGAGAAGTGCTAGATTCTCAGTCACTTCAGAAATACTTGTTGAAGTCTGCTTCTCATGTAGAAATATGCTGAAAATGTCCTTCAGGCTCAGAGTGGTTTATCAATAACTGTGACCCCTGAACAAAGAAATAAACAAGAAGTTATAGGCAGCATTCTGTGTGTCTGAGAAAATACTGAATTTATTTTATTACTCAAGCCACAGATACTGAACAAATGCATAGTGTATCAAAAGTACTATCACTTCAATCTAAATGACAGTGAAATCTGTTTAATTATAGATCAAAACATCAGACTTTTTAATCCAGATTTACTCCTTTGCTCTTTGCAGTTACAATTAAGAAAGAATAATTTTGTTCAGGAAATACTAAAATCCACCTAATATTCAAAGGGGTACAAAGAAACTTTTAGGGATGATAAATATTTTCATTATCTTGATTGTGGTGATGATTTCGTGGATATATACGTATGTCAAAATTAATAAAATTGTACATCTAAATATAAGCTATTCAATATCAGTTATATCTCAATAAAAGTGTTAAAAAAATTTTTTTTCCTAATTTACAGGCGTGCTATTCTGGGATCCTATGTACAATGTTCTATTAGGTATTGTTTTGGATAATACATAAACAATTGTGATGGTTAATTAATATAAACCTTTTTCTCCACAACTGGATCAATATTAGAATGTTATTGAAAAATTCTAATATTTAAAGCAATATAAATATCAATCATCAGAATAATTAATATGTAACATACAGTTTTAAAGATTCATTATATTTATTAAAGATAATTACAATTTGTCTTACTAAGAGGATGGACAAAATGGTATTTTATCGTTTGTCTCGTGCTGTGCTTAAGAAAAATTACCCCCTAGTCTCACTGTGACACCATCACAAGGGAGACCTGCCAGGGTGTTGTAGGGGTGGTATTTCTTGTGGATCTGACACAGTGAGTTCCACTCCACTGCACACAGATACTAGCCATGTTAATTATTTTATGCCCCTGCAATGGAAAGATCTGTGATTTCAAATACAAGTGACTGTGGGAAGACAAAATACTGCTTGATTTCAGAAAATATGTATCCAATATTATTTTAAGAACAACAAATTAAAATACATTTTGAGAAAAGACTTTCTTCTTAGAACAGAATAAGATTCTTAATGCAAAAATCATAATGGTGTATTTTTTTGTACTGTAATAGAAGACTATCAGAAAATGAGACAGTTATTACCAGCATAGCTTCTCCCTGTGCTCATACAAGATGACACGACTGTCCATTTGTCAGTCGTTGGGTTATAATATTCTACCGAGGCCAAGTTGCAGGAACCATCGTCTCCTCCAACTACATATAACAGACCATTGACAGCACAAACGCCTTTAAAAAAATTAGAGAAGAAAGCAATTATTTTTAAAATTTGGATGAATATGAATATCCCTGCACATGCTTGGTGAGGTGATCCAGAGACACTTCCTTGAAGGAGGCAAGAAAAGAAGATGGTGACCAAGAAAGAATTCTTATTCTTTTTATACGTGAGAGTCTAATGTCACGTTAGCTCCTACTGGTATCATTTATATAGTACTTGCTTTATTTTTGTATTATTTTACTTAATTTTCAAAATACCCTTACTTTATTTTAATCCTCCTCATGCACACACATCCTCAGATACTTAGTTTTTAACCCCCAAATAGGCCATAATATACATTCTACTTTATTACTCACCCACTCCCACCAAACATAGCTTGGACATGTCCCCAAGTTAATATTAATAAATATAGATCTACATAAGTGACTGCACAGTATTCCATATATGACAATACCATAATTTATTGTCTTTGAAATAAATATTATTTTTCTTACTAATAGATATTAAATTATTTTTAGGATTGTTTTTTGCTCTTATCAATGATGTTAAAATGAACAAGGACCCCTCTGCATACTTTTTTGTATACTTATGTAATATAATATAAATTTTCTTAATATAAATTTTTACCAAAAAAATTGCTTAGCTAAAAGATAAACACCTGTATTTCCCTATTTTTATAAAGCATATTTAATCATTCTAAACAAGATTCAGAGCTATCATGAAGTGGTACTAGAAGACATCAAAAGATCCAGAGGGATGCTGCTGCACCAGTCTCTGCAGTACCCTGGATAGTTCTGCTGGCATAATTAACAGGTCCTTGCAGATTTTTAACATAACAATGAGCCCACTCTATATACAGCATTTCAAAGCGCACTAGCAATAGTATCTTCTGTACAAATAGAGCGGATCTTCCCTACTCAAACTCAACTGTGTTACTATTCCAGTCTCTTGGCAGGAAGCAAATTCATACCATTTTAAAGTAGTTCAAATACTTGAAAAGCAAGAGCAGGGCAATGATTGCTCTACATATACAAATCATCTCCTTACTCTTCTAGCCATCAGAAATGAGCTTACTTTGATTTGAAAATGAAACATGAGTAGGAGGAAAAATAAGTTTATTCCAAATAATCTCCAGGAAAACAATGAAGTAAGTTCAAATTGCAAATAATTAGGAAAAATAAATTTCCTAATCCAGGGAAGGCACATGCACATACTACTGTGACTTTTTCTAACTTAACTATGCACTGGGGTCAAGCACGCATTCTACCTGGGGCCCAGACTTGTAGGTCTTACCATGTTTCCAGACTATCAACAGCCGAGAGATTTCTAGGACCTTACCAAGTACAAATGATTGAATGAGGTGCGAGTTCATGTAGAATTAATTATAAATTCTGTTCTGTTGTTGACAGTCTTTGCAGTCTCACATATTTAATTTCCCATAATAATCACATTTAAATTAAAGAGAAATTAAGAAGAGCATTTTTGGGGGTGTGCATCTTGTAATATCACCCAATGGTGTACACTGAGTTTGAAAATCATCAAGAACTTATTTTGGACAATGGAAAATGGCATGAAGATAATGACATTTTAAAGAACAAAAGCATTTCCTGAAAGACTGTCTAGCCACCCTAAATCTATTTTCCATTTCCATGTCCCTTGCATGGATCTTCTTTTCAAGTATTTAATTTCCTAAAGACCTCAGTTTTCCTAAAATTATTTGTTGTTGTTTTAGCTTTTCCATTTCCTAGAAATCCTGAATTGTATTATATCAGGGTTTGCTTCTTTGGGCTTCCCCTCCAGATTCAGATAAACACTAGCCTTTTAATCTGTTATAAATATTTACTTAACTAAACTAAATTCCCTAAGAACTGGCATATCTAGTACATGATATATAGTACGCACAAATGTTTGTGCTGAGAATGAAAGTATCGAATAAAGAATTCCAATATCAAATAAAGAGGGCTTTTCTTCTGATTTAGTCTCTACATTCATCATCAAAAATTGCAACAAGGAGAAATTTTAAATTAACTCAAGCATCACAACAACCTGCTTTTGTTCCATACACTATGCTAAGCATTTACTCTATGCTGATAGGATTATTACATAAGACCTGCCTTTAAAGAGCTAGTGTATTAGAGAACCCAGATTCAGTAAAAAAACAATGGAAATACACTGTGATACTGGTAAGTTCTAGTAAAACTATAAATACAATTCATATAAATTGTGTAATTGTAAACTAGACAGATACCTGCATTTCTTCTGCACATGTTCATATCTGCAACCTGTCTCCATGTATTGGTGGTGGGATCATACACTTCAACACTTTTTCGTACTAAAGGCCCATCATGACCCCCTACAGCATACAGTAAGTTGTTTAACACACCAACACCTACAAAACAAAGAACCAAACTATAGTAGAGTAAAAGGGGCTAGAGATTTATAACATATTTGGGTTTATTCAAATAACTTGTAACTCAAACTTTTGAAATTATTATTCATAGTAAAAGTAAGTGGATATTTAAAAAAAGGAAAACATATTAAAGCATACAACCAAAGAAAGGGAAATGAACAGACAAATGAGAATCTCAATAAGAACTATTACTCTAAAAAAAAAGAGGCACGCTGAATAGAATAAATATAGTAGGCAGGTGATGAACAGAGAGGGAAGGCTATTTACATCATCGTTTTGAAAACAACTTTCATGATAAAAGCAAACCAGTATTGCGGAGGAGAGACTGTTCCCAGAACAGAGATTCCTTCTCGTGAATTCCCTCAGAGACTACTGACGCCTCCCCTATAACCCAAAAGTGCTGGATCCCAGAACAGGTCTTTGTCCCCACGGGCAGCACGTAAGGCATTTTCTCCTTATCTGGCATGGGTCACAACCACTTAGCGCGTGCCAGGTAGCAGGGAGGATACCCGTGTCCTCTCGCTGCAGCCCGAGACGCACCTTGTATGTAAGTTCCTTACTAAACTCTAATGCAGTGTTGGTGTTGTGAGCCTCTTTCTTTGGTCTCTCAGTCCCGGGAAATTTTACGTAACAAGTATTGAAACACAGAATTTGTAAGAAATGACTATGAAAAGACTTGATTATTAAACAAGTTCCTCAATAAGCACTAAAACAACAGACTAAAAAGAATGTCAAATAATATAAATAATTAAGTGAAACAGAAAAGAAACCTTTGATATAGCATTCAGAAATTTTACCAAGTGAAATTTAAGTGCAATTGTCTACCCCTACTTGTGTAATTCAAAACATATTCTAAAAAGGTTACTAGAATCAGTATACATTTTCTGAAAACATAAAGAGATGTCAAGGAATCATTTCACTTGTTTAACTCTTTTTCCATCATTTTCATGCTTCAATTACTAACTGAGGTTCCCTCTCACCTGCCCCGCTCCGTCTGGTACTCATTTCCGCTATGTAGGTCCACTCGTTTGTTGTGGCGTTATAGCATTCTACCGTGCTCAGACACTGCCGGGAGGCTCCGTCATAACCCCCTACAGCATACAGCAAACCTAAACACGGAATCACAAAGAAAGCCACGTTCACAAAAGTGCTATTTTTTCAAGTCAGAAGATAATATATTTTCCTCCATGGTAACAGGCTTTCCCTGTAAAGTGTTACTGATTTTTATGGACTATAAAAATCTTGCCTAACGGGGATACATAGAGTTACCAAATCACATTATGAAGATCTGCAGAGTATATATGATGACATTAATTTAACATTTTCATCAATAATATATGATGACATTAATTTAACACTTTCATCAATAATCTGACAGAATAGAAAACACACTCATTATGTCTTTGGATAACACTATTTGTTAAGTGAGCAACACCCTAGAAAAGGGAATTAGATATCAAAGACATCTTAGTAAATTAAAAAACAAATTAAACCAAAAGAAATGAGATACCAGTAAATGCTACAGCACAAATGAACCCTGAAAACATTATGCTAAGTCAAAGTAGCCAGTCACAAAGGACCACTTACTGTATGATTTCAATAGTATGAAACGTCCAGAAATGCGGAATTTATAGACAGAAGGGAGAGTAGTGGTTGCTGACAGCTGCGGAAGACGGGAGTGGCATCTACGGGGAGTAGGGCTGCTTTTCGGGGAAATAAAAATGTTCTAAAATGATCTGTCATGGGTGCATGCTGAACCGCACACTTTAAGTGGGTGAATTGTACAGCATGTAATTTATCTCTCAATAAAGCTGTTTAAAAAAATAGTGCAGAGAACTATACCCACAGCGGGGAGGGCACAGCAACCTACAAATTTACCCAATAAATAAATAAATAGATAAATAAATAAATAGATAGATAGATAGAATCACAGTGGGGAGGGCACAGCAACCTACAAATTTACCCAAGAAATAGATAGATAGATAGATAGATAGATAGATAGATAGATAGATAGATAGAATCACACCAAAAAAATACTTATAGCCTTTCTTAAATTTTATTGGGGGGACAAAGTAGAATATAAATAAATAATTGTGGCAACCCACCCCTTAAATGTTAAACAGCTCTTTGTATATATGCTGTCTGATTTGTTCCCCAAACAATTGCATTAACATCAGTTAACAGTTCCATATAGGTTACATATGCAGAGAGACAGAGAAAGAGAAAGGAGGAAAGAAAGAGGGAGAGAAGAAGGAAGACAGTAAGAGAGTGGAGGAGAGGGAAGCTAGAGTGGAAGAAGGAGGGCCTTATAGAGGTTAGTTTATTTACACAAGCTAATTTAAAAGAATAATTAAAATTTTACAAGAGCTACTAGGTTCCCCGTTGAAATGACCACTTGCTTGTCCAGTGTAGAGGACTGATTTTTAGATTACTGGAAGAGCCACTCCTAACAAGAAGCCACGTGTACATGAAAATGTTCACCTGCAGGAAGCAGCAGCACCTACCTCCGACAACGCCGACACCAACGCTGCTCCTCCTCGTGTTCATGGGAGCCACGTGAAACCACTCATTGGACTTGATGTTGTATGCTTCCACAGACGATAAACCTGTAATAAAGCATAATGCTCTTCATTCCTCCTCCAGAAAAAAAATGTAACATGATTGTTCCTTTATATATTGATAAATTGTTAGGGAACAATACTTCAGATATGTTAAACTGGACTAAAATTAAAAGAGAAAAAAATGATGGAGTGTAAACATATTGATTAAGTGATAAACAGCAATAATTTCTTTTCCAGAGGGCTCATACCCAAGCTACTTAGCTTTTTAACTTAGTAAGATGACTGATACTGATGTATAAGAAGGAAAATTTATATCCTTACCACTCATATCACAAAGGAATTCTTGATGGAATTTTTAAACTTAACAATACTTGCTAGAACAGATATCTCCTAATTGTGCCATGATTTGTTCTAGAAACACGATCACTATGTTAATTCTAACAGCAATGTGAAAAAATTGAAAAGGAACTCACCTGTACTCCCATCAAAGCCTCCCACAGCATATAACAATCCATTTAATACAGCAGCTCCCAAAGTGCTTCTCCGGTCTCGCATGTTAGCCACGCTGGTCCACTGATCTTTTACAGGGTCGTAGGAATCTACGGTGCGGACTCGTAAGGAACCATTAAAGCCACCTACAGCAAAGACCAGTCCAGCCATGTAGACCATCCCTGCAAAAGAAAGAAAGCAGTTTATGAGGAATATGTGACCAAACTACCACCACTGCCTAAGGACTGCTTTCCAATATGTCTATAGGTGTTGTCAGAATATAAGTTATCCTGAAGAGAATCCTGACTGAATAGGTCCTAAGAAATGCTATTCAATAATAAGACTATATGTAAGGACTAAACTGTCCTCCTTTCTAGGATTATTAAAAAACGCAATGGGATGGGCTGAGATCCTATTTTGACTCTTGGCATTTTCAAAGACTTATTTACAGACTTAAATAATGAGCAAGCTCCTCTAATCTGTGCACATCTCCCATGGCCTTAAATTTTGAATCTTCTACTCTATATGTTTATACTTAATTTGTATAACGTGCTCCCAGTTTGTCACGTTAGTGGGCTAAATCAGGAGTCAATAAATTATATCCTGCAGGCTATTTTTGTAGGACCCATGAGCTAAAAATGGTTTTTACATATTTAAGTGGTTAAAAATATTTTAAAAAATGCTTGTAACACAAAAAATTATACAAAATTCAAATTTCAGCATCCATAAATAAAGTTTTATTGGAACACAGCCCAAACCATTCATTTATATAGTGTCTATGCTGTTTTTGCACTACAGTTGCATTTTAGTAACTGTAACAGAGACCATATAACCCACAAAGCATGAACAACTTACTCTCTAATTGTCTACGAAAAAGGGAGCCGACCCCCAGGCCAATGAGGCGTCAGGTGATCCCCAGACAGAGAAATCATGTTGCTAGACCTAAGGTTTCCAACCACCTTCCCACTTTTATGAGCTTTTTCATGCTGTTGTTCTCATCCGAGAAGCTCCTCTCACCGCCCCTTCTGCTTTCTTCAAGCCCCAGTCAAAACTCCACAGAGAAGTCTACGGTTACCAGTAATGTAGCAATACTAATTTCTTAGTTTTTGATAACTATTTCACAGTTATGTAAGATAGGAAGAGAGTATACTAGGACTCATTTTACTACCTTCGGAATTCTTGAAAATTGTGTTAAAATTATTTCAACATAAAATTTTTTTAAAAAAAAACATGTGTATGTACACACACACACACACAACTAATTTTGGAGTAAGGTTTTCCTACACACGAAACAAATCCTTAAGTCCACAGACAAACCTCTGATGTACAGGACTTCATATACTGGTGAAAAATTTCTACATGGCAAAAACAGCTTTAGTAAAGTCAAATGAGAAAGGTTAATATAAATATTCACAGCATATATGACAGACAAAAAGGCTACTTTCCTTAACATATAAATGCATCTGTCAAATGAATAAAGCAATTAAAAAATAGCATAGATCATGAACTGACAATTCAGAGAAATGTTACCTTTCCTCATAATAAAAGAAGTACAAAGTAAAATGAGATCACATTTTTCACCTACCAGACTGGTAAAACTCAAAATATTTAATTACAACGTGTTGTTAGGAGTATAGGGAAAAGGGCATCTTCATATTTTAAGGTTAGTGTATAACTGGGGTATCCTTTTAGGATACCTTTTAGTAATTCCAGTTCTAGAGTTTTATTCTGCCATATTAGCATGTGTACACAATGACATATGACAATTCACTGTAGCCCTGTTCATAGCATAATGTTAAAAACAATTTTAATGTTCAATTAAAAACCAGTAAAAATCATACTATATCCAGAACTCCCCCCTAAAAAAACTATTTTATAGCTCTTAAAAAATGAGGTAACTCCGCGCTGATATGTAACAGTCTCCAAGATATGCTGTTCAAGTACACTACCATGAAAGAAATGTTCCATCACACTTGGAACTCATTTTGCCAGGGGAGCTAGGAACAATGGATCCAAGTATGAGCTCCAGGAAGAATCCACAGAGTTGGCAACTGCCTTTTCTGACTGCAGGTTTGCTATATAATGTCTAGTTTAACAAATGTTTATGAAATGGGTGCCTGGATAAAGGCAACTGTGGCTTGTAACTAAGTTGGGAATCTCCTAGAACTAAAGGTCCCAACCTAAAGAATCCTTTCTCAACCTGTCAGCAAAAGCAATTAAGAAAATATCCAGCAAATTGCTAGTTATTGCACCTTATACTAGTGAATCAGGAAGATGTGTTAAAGATGAAAACAGAGCAGCTATCCCCATCAATGAGCTGTATGAGGCTCCTGAGCCACTGTTTAACCACCGGTTTATCAAAGCTTTGCTAATGAAAATTCTTCTGATTCATAAAATAAAACCTGAGAGAGAAGCTCCCAATGACCCTGCAGGAGGGAATGGCTTACCTGCCCTGCATCTCCTTGAAGGCAACTCTGCTACCTGGTGCCACCGTTCTTCTTTAAAGTCATAGCATTCCACACTTCTGATGGCCTTCGGGGCTTGGCCGCCAACCACCACCATCAACTGGAAGGGCAGAAATGAAAGCACTTGAACAACCAACCGTTGTGCATTCAGGGAGTTAAATGTCTAACAAAGACACTGATGTGGAGAGTGTTAGGATGAAGATGGGAGGGCGAGCCGGGGGTAAACAACCACCTAATCGACATTTAATAAACATCAACAAAGGGGGCACAGGTTAGAATACAATTCTATTCTGTAGCACATTTAGTCAAAAATAAGGATTTCAGAAACTAAGATAAGTTTCTGATCCTTCAAGCAAAAGCAGTATTTAAGCCGAAAAACAGCAGGCAGGCAGCACTGGCAAGGCTGCAGTATGTCATAGGGCTTGCTAGTAGTCAGATCCTGGCTTTGTAAGGATCAGGGATTAGGCATCTGCACACAGAGGTGAACTTTATGTTAGTGGGTAGGTGAGGTGAAACAGACAGTAAGGTATTAAAAGAGAGATGAGAGATGGGCAGAGGTCGGGGGGAACTATTGAAAAAGGAGGAGAAATTGAACTGGAATTCATAAGAGAGCACAGATCCCTGCATATCAAATAAAGAGACCTCCTCTGATGCCCCACAAAAAAATGAATAGGACAAGTAACAGAGAAACTAGGATTCATAATGAATGAATAAATGAATGTACAATAGTCTCGGGCTGAGAATAAATGAGGTCTATATATTTCTTCAATTTAACTCAGTCCAACAACTATTTACTAAGTGCATATCATCTGTATTTGTCCAGAACTGTGGTAGGTATTATACACAAGATATGTTAAGACATGGTCTCTACCCCTCAAGAGCTTATGGATCTCACTAAGGAGTTAAGACCTATAAAGTAATTGTAGAACAATATACAATTACATATGACCAAAAAGCTGTATGATTACTGTAGACATTAATTGCTACTGATCAGTGAAAGCTTCCAGGAGGGGGTGGAACCTTGTGCGAATGATGGAATTTAGTAGTTAATGTGTTTGTCTTTCAATGAGTGCAAACAGGCACACTTTGGCAACACTAAAAACACAGCCTTCGAATCAGAAGAACATTAAAGTTAATGATGTCTTGTATGGAATACTGAAAAGAATGACAAAGGACCTTGGGAGAAAGATGAGGTGATGATAGAAAGAAAACAGATGTTCAAAAGAAACAAAACAAAATCAAAAAAACGGAAGACGGAATGACTTACACATACAAAAAGGGGAGGTTTGCAACCTTGACTGAGCAATGACCTACCTACCTGCACTTAAAGCTACAGGAAGATGCATACATGGAAAACATCATTCCTCAATCAGAGTAAACCCCAAGTTTCCAAAATGAAGCCTATTTTAGTAATTTATTAACTGGAGAGTAGAAGGAATGTTATGGGTCTTAAAAAGAAGACTGAACACGGACCAGTTACATAATTTTTTTTTCAGATCTGCCCCTCTTCTAGTGTTGAATAAAAACACAGAAAAGAAAGAACAAAACAAAACAAAAAAATCTGCAATACCCTCCCATCTATCACCAAAGGGAAAAAAAAAAATCACAGAAGTAAAATATACAGTACAACGAACCCTGTATGTAGGGATTTATATAAGCTCTGTGTTTAAACTTCTAAACTCTGCCTGACAGTTAGACAATAGTTGACAGAGGCTTGGTAAACATCTGCGCTAAAGATCAACTGAAATACTTTTCAAAATAATCCTTGAGAATATTGTTTCTCAATACTGATTGTTCCTCAAGCTTTGACTCTCATGGATTCCATGTAATAGTTCACTTTTGCAACATCAAAATGAGGACCAAAAGGAAAACGTGCTCCTGAGTACAGAGGGTGGTAGTAGTGCCTGTCCTTTATACATTCCAAAGAAGAAAAATGAGGCGAGGGCTTGTGAGTCCAGGAATCAGAGACAACAGGGACAAAAAAAAAGAATGTTTAATGGCAAGACGAGAAAGCTGGGAGATTTGCATAAGATCAAAAAACTGCTAAAGACCACTGCGCTACTGCATCAGAAGAGGTGCTCATAACTCTGACACCCCAGTTATTTCTAAAAGACACCCAATTTCATTTGAAAACGCTAAACTAATTACACTAATGTAAAGAATTAGAAAACCAGGAAGACCTTATGTATGGAAAAGTTAAATGTGACATACTTAAGAAAGGCAAGGGGTAGGGAGTTAAATTCAAGTGACTATCCTGAAATGTAGGTCAATTAAACTTTATTTGTTTTCTTCACATAATAGATATTAGTTTAAAAACTGCCCCCCTAAAAAAACAAAAACAAAAAAAAAAAAACAAGTTCCATAATTTTCTAGTTGCAAATATCAATAAATATCCTGAATAAAACATAAAAATATATACAAAGAAATAATATAATAGCATTTATAAATAGATTCCAAAGAGGAAAAACTAACAATAAAGTACAGTAGCAAAACATACAGCTTTTTATTACAACGTCCAAGGTACCTTAAACAATCCCAATACTGTTTACTGAAGATACAAAACTAATGTTTGAGGTATAAAAAGAATCATTCATGCAAATTAGTATGTGTCCACAGAATCAGAGCCTAATATAAAAAGTACTAAGTCACTGTGGTGGTAGAAATGTTATCAAAACGATGCAATACTTTCTTCAGCATTAATGCCACATTTTCTCTGGTGTGACTTATTACTATGATATAATGCATCATTATGATGAAATATGTGAGCATAAGAAATCAATCTTTGTTTCATTCCTACCTACATACTTAGAATTCACCTTGAATATAACCACTCTGAAATGACAAACAATGCTTTTGAAACAGCCTCTAACAAAAGCACCTTTTCAAAAAACATGTAGATGAATAAATTTTGACAAGGACCATGCACAGGCACAGTCAAAGCAACAATGTATCTCACTCTGCCACTTCTGCTGCTCTCCCTGCCAGAGCACAATAAAGAGAGAATCGCTATGGATCAGTGTGACCACCACAAAATAAAAGCTGAAGAACTGAGAGATCCAAAAATACAATACAGATGGAAGCACTATTCCAACGCTACAGCCAGAGAAGACAAGAAACAATGTCGACTTAACAGATGATCACAACGTGACAAAAAAGAAAATAAAATACTTGAAGAATTCGTTTTCATCCCCAAAGTCTCTGCAGCATAGCTAACGATATATAAACTAAAGAATTCAGAAGAGGAAGTATACAAGTTAAAAGAGATCTTTTACAACGATGAATTGTTTAAAAAGTACTAAAGATAAAATGAACTTTAAAAGGACGTTGAAAAGACTAGCATAAAAGAAGTGGTCATTTAAATGATCTAAGACTTCGAACAATTTTTATAAATCTGTTTTTGTAAGAGCAAAAACTGACACCAAATAAAATGGACAAATATGAAATAATGAAGACTTATAAAGATGGCTACTTATAAAAGCAGGTAGAAGGGTATTTGGAAAATGTAAACATTATAAAATCAGCAGACCCAGATGGCATGCACACTAAGGTGTTAAGGGAACTAGCTAAGGTACTTACTGAGCCACTTACAATTATTTTTGAAAAATCTTGGAGAACTGAGGAGAGATCAGAAAATTTAAAAAAGGCAAATACCAATTTTTTGAAATAGGGTAGGATGTGAATGCCTTGTAAATACCTTTAAAGTGATAACTGTGAGTAAAATGTAGAATATTTTGAGAAAAGCTTTCAAACTTCTAGGATCCAACAAAATGTTGAGTAACACACAGAGAGATATTTTTAAAAATCATGCCAAATTAGAATCTATTTCACCCTGAATCTCATCAGACATTATATGCCAAATCGCTTATTTTTGGCTTCGATAATAAATATAAGCACATGGACTGAAATTTTCTAAAAAGGGGCTATGTCAGTGAGTGGGTATTTTTAATGTGGTGTCACCAGGGAGAATGTTGAGGTCATTCTAAATTAAATTATTTACTAATGATCTAGAAAAAGCAGTAAATAGCACACTGGCAAAATATGCTGTTAGTTCTAAATCCAGAACTGTTGTTAACACTAGGTAAAGCAGAAAAAAACAATACCATACCAATACAGATTTGAAGCAATTAAAAATGTAGATTCTAAAAATAAAACTTGAAAAAACACTAAATAAGAGCATTAAAGTAAAAGAATTTAAAAGACATAATTTAATGGAAAGGATAGATTAACAACCAAAGATCAGGTAAGAAAGCAATGAATAACAGAGTAATTCTTATTTCTTAATCCATCGCTGCCCCAACCATACACAAGAGCTAAAAATTAATACACAGATAAAAGCATTATATCATGAATCATTCTGATTAGACCACAGACAAAATGGTGCTTAGAGTGTTGGTCTTCTAGTACCGTAAACGTGCAAAGAGAAAAGGAACTGCAAACAGAGAGACAGAAATGAGGGGTTTTTCCATAAGGAAAATTAAAAGAGTAAAACACAAATGGCTTCAACTAAAAATATAAAGGTAGAATATGGAAACTTCCACACAGGAAAATATGAACACTGGAGATCTGGAAAGTCATACAGGAAATCTACACTGAAATGGCTCCATAAGATGTGTGGATGAACCATCAAATAGCATATAACAGGGAATAAACCAAAAATAAACTAAACAAGCTATTTTACCCTCCTTAGCTCTAATATGCAATTCTGTGAAACTACTTGGTTTTCAGTCATTACCCAACCCACATGGTTTACAGAGAAATCTTTCTACCTAACGTGATCTTCCCTTCTACTATAACTCGAACTAATAAAACTCAAAAGGGACAAAAACCAGCTGCCTTTATTCCAGAAGAGTGACATCATGCAGCTTATAAAAATTAAATGAACCAAACAATCCCCACCTTCCAAAGACAAAAATAATAGAGAGGTTGAATTATATACACAGAAAGGAATTCCTAGATACATTGTCTGTTGCAGGGAAATTAAAAACAATAAAGCATGGAAATTCAGATGAGTAAAAAATATTAGCAGCCTCACTAAGAGCCTTTCAAATGAGGTAATAAGAAGTATGAATTATAGCTCCTACTTTGGGAAGATTCATGGGTGTCCTCAGTCGGGTCCGCACACTCTTCATTAATACACGCTGTTCTGTGGGCAGCAAATGATACTTCATGGCTTCAATGAGGTAATCTTTGCAAGCACTGCTGTTCTTGACCAATGCTTCCTCTTCTACCCTCTGTAAGAAGAAATCACACAACCCCAAGAGGGGACAGCTATTTCGTGATAATACTGACCAAAAAAAAAGTAAAGAGAAGAAAAAAAAGCAGTACCTATCCTCTCTAATTCAGTCTAAAAGTTATAGTTAGAATGTCACTGAGAAAAATGAATGAAGCCAAAAAATGCTAAAATAACTGGTCCGCAGAAAAAAATATGTATAAATAATAATGAACTGCAATGAAAATTATATACTTCAATATCAGCTACAAAATAATCTTTAGATAATACGATATCCACCTATTTCTAACCTTTAAACATCAAGCCAAACAGTACAAAAAACAAGAAAAAAAATTTAGGTGAATCCTTCAGGTGGGGGAGGCAAAACTGATAAGTTAAAGACAACCTTTTTCAAACTCAGGATGGCAAATAAAATATCCAGAAAAGGGATTCAAAATACTTTATAACAATGTCCTTACACCATAAATAAGTCTTGTCCTTGCTATCTCTGACCTCAAAGGCAGAACAGGATTTTTTTCTGTTTATTTTCTTAACAGCAGAGTGCCAATGATTACACAGATCATAAAAAATAATGAGGCTTTGAGAAATCCTACAATGCTCAGATCTAATCTCTTAATAAAGAAATGTTTCTTCAAATGGTTTTAATTATAAAAATGTTGAAATGTTCCTAGTAGGATGTTAATAATAAAAAAGTAAACTTAAAATCTGTTTAGAGACTAATAATAAAAAAGTAAACTTAAAATCTGTTTAGAGACTACTAAAGATCCATTTATACCTATCTATTTTAAACAATCTGGTTTTCCTCAGCTTAGAAATAAAGATAGCAATTAAAATATGTGCCACTCCGAGATTCCGAAGTAGAATTAAACAGTATTTGAAGAGAAGACCGAAATTCTGCATCTGCAGGCCCATCAAAAGAGGCTACTGAAAGGAAAATGCAGAGCAGGGCGGCAGAGCCACGGGTGCATTCGTGTACTTGCGCCTAAGTGACCACAATACCACCTTGATCAGCTCTAGGGGAGACAAAATTCCAAGAACGGGGATGGCCTGAGAGCGAGCAGCTGCTAAGGCCCTGCACCCCATGGATCTGTATCCTGTAACTCTTACCATTTTGTAACAAAGATCTACATGTGGTCAGCCCAGTGCCACAATGCTCCATGTATTCACATGTTTTGCATATGCTTTTACCTGAACTAAATATTCCCGGGGGAGCAAAGGTAACCGTACGTGTTCCATCAGCCGAGCCATAAATTCTTGCCTTACATCCTTGTCATGGTTCACCCAAGCAATTACTGCTTCAAATACCTTACAGAAAACATGGAGAAAAGGGAAGTAATGAGTTAGGTACCAAAGCAACGGAATAAAATATGATGAGACTACACTGCATAACACAACTTTTGTTAAGACATCAAAGTTTAATTCATGGCTCAATTTTTTTCAAAATCCTGATTTTTGATATACTTAAAAAGCCATTCAATTTATTTCTTCTTTTCACTTGGTATTTAGTAAATACTTTATCTTTTGTAGATTTCTTGAGACATAATTGACATAATATTGTGTAAGTTTAAAGCATACAATCTTAAAATACTGATATATTTATATATTGCAAAATGATTACCAATATACGCCTCCATCATGTCACAGAATTACCATTTTTTTTTGTGGTGAGAACATTTAAGATCTACTCTCAGCAACTTCTAAGTATATAATACAATATTATTAACTATAATCACCATGCTGTACATGAGGTTCCCAGAATTTATTAATCTTTTATAACTGGAAGTTGGTACACTTGGACCAACATCTCCCCATTTACCCTAAAACCCAAATCCCTTGTAACCTTCACTCTCCTGTTTCTATGAGTTATTCGGATTTCACATACAAGTGATATCATACAGTATTTGTCTCTGTCTGACTTATTTCACTTAGCATAATGCTCTCAAGGTCCATGCCATTGCAAAAAGTGGTATTTCCGGCCTACTGAATGCAGAGTGACGGCCACAGATGGTAGATCTCTGGATAAAGGGGGCACAGAGCGGTCTGGAGACACTGGAGGAGAGACTGGCAACGGAGGCTTTGGGGAGAGAAGGGAGAGAGTAGTCCGTGGGATCCCAGAGCTGACTCCTCCCACACAGGGCAGCAGCATGAGAGGACCCAATAACCCCGCCCCCAGGAGCAACTCGGCCTCGCGCTGAGCTGTCTAAGGCGGCCTGCTGGCTGCAGAGTGACTAGATTAACAGCTGAAGGAGACAGCCACAAACAGTAGATTCTTGGAAGTCTCGATCAGACTGCCTAAAATCAGACAGGGATGAAACTGGACATCATCAGAGGCAGATCCAGAAAGTAAAAACAATGGTCTCCTACCATAGAAATTCACACCACAAAGTCAGGAAATCAAGACAGATCAACTTAAGAACCAGAAGCAAAAAAGAAGAGTCTCACAAATAATGGGAAGACAAAGAAATGTGCCCCACTCAAAGGGAAAGGAGGAATCCCCACAAAGAAAACTAAATGAAATAGAGGCAAGTATCAGAAACTGAGTTCCAAATAACGGTTCCAAGGAAGCTCAATGAGCTCAGTAAGCTCAGAAAGAATTACCAAAAACTACAGGGAAACTATGAGGAAGTTACTGCAAACTATACCAGCATGAAAAAGGACATAGAAACTATCAATAAGAGACAAGAGGAAATGGAGAATACAAATTCTGAATTGAAGAACACAATCGAAGGAATCAAAAGCAGGATAGATGAAGCCGAGGATGGAATCAGCGAGCTGGAAGACAAGGTAGAAAAAAGCTCCCAGAAAGAGCAAGAAAATGAAAAAAGACTCAAAAAGAATGGAGAAGCATTGAGGGAAATGCAGGACAACCTGAAACGTAGTAATATCCACATAATAGGGATACCGGAAGGAGAAGAGGATGGAGAAGGCATAGAGAACCTGTTTGAAAAAGTCATGATGGAAAACTTCCCTAAATGGAGGAGAGAAAAAGTCACATAAGTCCAGGAAGCACACAGGGTCCCACTCAAGAAGAACCTCAAGTGGAGTGTAGGCCCACTCCAACACACATCATCATTAAAATGACAAATATCAAATGACAAACAGAGAATCCTAAAAGAAGTAAAGGAGAAATAGGTAGTAACATATAAGGGAGCCCCGGTATGGCTAGCAGCTGACTTCTCAACAGAAACACTGCAAGCCAGAGGGAGTGGCAAGAAATATTCCAAGTAATGAAAAGCAAAGGCCTGCAACCAAGACTGTTCTACCCAGCAAGGCTCACAATTCAAATGGAAGGCAAAATAAGGAGTTTCGCAGACAAAAGAAGACTAAAAGAATACACCTCCACCAAACGAGCACTGCAAAATATGCTAAAGAACTGTTTTAAGATGAGGAAAAAGAGTCTATGAATACTCAGTTCCTTTCACAGTTGCCAATACTTGATATTACCAATATTTTTTAATATGTATTACTGTGATTGTGACAATGATGTGTTATTTTAATTGTTCCTTTACTATTTGTTGAAACTAAACCTGTTTTTTTGTATTTCTTGCTTATTTCTATTATTTTTATAAAGCTTTAAATGACTTTTTGGTATTTGTATCCATTTTTTGATTCAATATTTGTAGAATTTTTTTCCCTAAAACAAAATATAAAACAAATCATTAACCCTTTTTTAGATGTGCTGCAAATACTTTCCTATTCTAATACTTGTCCTTTAACTTTTTTTATATGTATATTACTGGACAGCCTTAAGTGCTTAATATAGTAACATAGACAATATTTTACTTTATAGCTGGGTTTGAATATTTTACTTCAGGGTAAGAAAAATATTAGTTTGTATTTTCTCCTAAAATTCCTTAGATTCTACATATTGATTTTTAACTCACCTGAATATTTCTTGTATACTGTGTGAAACAGGGCTCTTTATTTCTTTTATTTCAGGTAATAGTGGTCCATGCACCTTATTTGTTGAATAAGCCTTATTTTACCCATTGATTTGAAATATCAACTTAATCATATGTTACATTGTTAGACAGATTAAAAAAAAGTGGCATTTCCTTTTTTCTCATGGTTAAACAATATTCTACGGTATATATACACACCAGATCTTCTTCATCTATCTAGTCATCTGTTGATGGACACTAAGTTGTTTCCGTTACCTTGGCTATTGTGGATAATGCTGCAATGAACGTGGATGGGAATGCAAATACCTCTTCAAAATCCTGTTTTCATTTCCTTTGGGCATATACCCAGAAATGGGATTGCTAGATCATATGGTAGTTCTACTTTTAATTTAATCAGTACTTTAATAGTACTTTTATATATTTAGTGAGTACCTTTCATTTGGTATTTATTAAGCATTTCACCAAGTCCATTATCAAATCTTGAACTTGAGTGGTAGCTGTGATAATCTGATGATACAGAATCTAATTCACTGTTGATAACCTTTCCAAATTGAATTTGGTTCTATTTGTCTACATTTAAATCTCAAGTCCCTTTGGAATAAAGCAACCAAAATAATAAATCAAAGACATTCTGGGATGAAAATCACATGTCCTTATAACCAACTTATCTTTGGCTTTTTCTCTAGATTTACAAACAAATGTTGGACCATCTACTTCTAAACTGAGATTCTGAAGAATAGATAAAAACTCTCTTTTGTGCCTTGGCTGGTGTGGCTCAAATGGCTGGAGTGTGTACCGTAAACCATAAGACTGCAGGGTTGATTTCTGCAGGGCACATGCCTAGGTTGAGGGTTGGGTCCCTGACTGGGGTGTGTATGAGAGGCAACATATCCATGTTTCTCTCTCATGTCAGTATTTCTCTCCCTCCCTCCCTCTTTCCCTCCCTTCCCCTCTCTCTAAAATCTGTAAGTATGTCCTCAGGTGAGGATAAGAAAAATAAATAAAAACTCTCTTTTGTCACAATAGAATATATTAAAATGTAGTATTTTGAATTAAAAATAAATTAGGGCATACAACTTACAATATATACCTATGAAAAAGCTAACAAACTAATATGAAGATGGGATCAGACTACATAATTTCCTTGCAGACTGTTGAATATATAACCCAGTAATCTTTAAAAGGTTGCAGAAAATGTTTGATATGTAAATGGGTTATTGGAAGCAAAAAATAGGTCACTTTGATCCAGGAATAGAGCAAAAAACTAAAAATAATCTACATTGTAATTAACATGCCTCTTTAATTCATTCAGTCAACAAATCCATCTAGTGCCTCTATGTGCCAGGTGCTAGAGAAGAGGGGCCTGTCAATTCTATCTACTGTTTCTCAGCTCTGCCTTCTCTTCTCCACCCAATTCTACCATTCCCCATCAGATCCTACTGCTCATGGATATGACTTCAACGTCCTCCTACCTAACCCCCACCCCACTTTTAGTCCATTCTGCACACTACCACTGCGATAGTCAGTCTCCAAAGCTGGTCCCCTAATAAAAGACATCTCCTGGTATCCACACCTTACGAGGTAACTGCCCACAGGGAATGTAAGCTAGCCTTGTACAACCAACAGAATGTGGTGGAAGTGGCACTGTGGGACTTCTAACACTGAGTCATGGCCTTTTGGGTTTCACGCTGGTCTCTTGAAATGCTCATTTGAGGGAAGCCAGAGGTCATGTAAGAAGTCTGATTACTTGAGATCACTAAGCTAAGAAAAACCGAAGTTGTCCACAGAGAGAAAGAAGGAGGGGCAAAAGAGAGAGGGAAAGGGAAGGAGAGATACCAACGAACCCCCAGCCCAAGAGCCAGACAAGTGAGTGAAGGAGCCATCATGGATATTTCAGACACAAGATGGAACGTGCAAAAGGGCTAGAGCCCCAGCAGAACCATTCCAGAAACCTCCAGTCATTCAAACCACCCCAGCTGACTCCCCCAACCCTGCAGAGAAAGGGCAAGCTATCCCTATATGCCCTGCATGAATTCTGCCTACAGAATTGTGAGCATAAGATGGTTGTTTTATGTCACTACATTTTGGGGTAGCTTGTTATGCAGCAATAGAAAACCAGAAGAGTCTTCATGGCACTTTTATAATGCAGGTATGCTGACAGTATTCTCCTGTTGCTTAAAACCTCTTACAGGTTCTTCATTACTAGTATGAAGTCAATTTTCTTTAATATGACCGAGAATACATTTTATTACGTCATCTTCCCATCCCTTCTCCTACCACTCTGCCAAACATACTCTAAACTCTAACCATACTGAAGCAACTACACGCAATTATTCTTTCACACATCTTCACACCTGCATGTTCTGTTCGCACTCCCGGAATGCCCTTCCCATTCCCACCCATCTTTATTTCCATGGCAAACTCGAACACATTTTTAAAAACTCGGATCAGACATCTGCACGAAGCTGAACTCCCATTCCCAACACCATCACAGGAATGATTAAATCTCCTTCAGTACCCAGCATTCTGTCATCATTTTCCCCACGGGTTGTCCCTCTAACCTATGAGCAAAGAATTCTATTTTGTTAATCTTCTTGTACCTAAGTCTCTATGGCCGTGTCTGGCACACGGTAGGCACTCAATACATGACTATCAAATGTGAATGGGAATGCCTTTTTCTTCTCTGTATTTCTAGAGTGCTAAGATTATACACCTCACAAACAATTTTCAGATATTTTTTATATGGTAAATATTAGAGTTAAATGTGTCTTTCTAGCCTCAGGTGGAATGAATACCCCTGAGGAATAGAATTAAAGTTTACACAACTTTACATACAAAGTATACAAAAGAAAGGCTCCAGTTTTACTTCCTCCAAACATAATGTGTTCATACACTTTCATGCCCTGACACATATGAGCTATAAAACCTACCCAAAGGAAAAAAACCCACTAAGAGAAGCCACTCCCTCCATCTATATGAAAGGCATAGGTGGCTGAAAAAGGCAACCCCAAACATGGAGAGACAGAAGGCTGCAAGCAACGAAGCAGCTACAGTCCTCTGGGAGGGCGGGCAGAGCCCTGGTAGGCCTAGGTGTGAGTAACAGGGGACCAGTCTAAAGGAAGAGCATGATCAAGGATGTTTGGTCTGGAAGCAGCTTAACTGTGCCACCCAGGAAAACTTCTTCCAACTTACATCATGGTGAAATTACTTTGGTTTGAGAAATACTAGATTTAGATCACATTCTTACAGGAATCTAGCTGTGGGAAGAAACCTGGTTCCCAAAAGACACTTCTTTCAGACAGTTTCATATGTGCAAGCTCTTGCTGTAGAGGTCAAGTACAAAATTCTAATGTGTAACAGTTTAGGAAACCTCCTCAAGAGTGAAGAAACACAGTAATTTACACAGACAATCAAGTCAACTGAGTTTCTTCACTTCCAGATCAAATATCACTGGCCAGCATTACACATACAGGATCACAAAATTACAAAACAAAATGGAATTTAAAAAAGTACTACATCACTGTACACGGGGAAAAGAAATATATACTTACCTTCTCTTCAGAAGATATGGTAAGTTTGTCACTTGAGATTAAGCTGCACACTTGTTCAATGCCGAGATTAAGAAATTCTTCACTAAGTACGACATCTGCAAAATGTTGCTCTGTTTAGAGATTAAAAAGGAACTCTATTAACACCAACATTCCATTATCATAGTTTTGAACTGCTTAAAAAAAAGAAGAGGCTTCTCTTTTTCTTTTTAATAATTTATTTTTTAGGAGAAGGGAAGAAAGATATAAGGGGAGAGAGAGAAGCAATGATTTGAGAGAGAAACGTTGATTGGTTGCCTCTAGCATGTGCCCCAACCTGGGACTGAACTGGCAACCCAGGCATGTGCCCTGACTGGGAATCAAACCAGCGACCTTTCATTTTGCAGGATGATGCCTAACAAACTGAACCACATTGGTCAGGGGAAAAAAGAATATATACATTTTAATATATTCTTAATTTAACCCAATAATGAAAAACAGAGCTGTACTTCCTCCAGGCAAATGATCTCAACATTGGTTCCAAGACCCCTCAATGGGAAATGGATAGTCTGTTCAACAAATAATATTGGGAAAACTGGATATCCACATGAAAAAGAATGGAGAAGGGTTCTTAAGTTGATTTTTATTGGTAACCTATAAGCTCCATGAACTTCAACATCCAAATCTCTTCCCTGATTTGGGAAGTTGTCGATCATTCTTTCTTTCAATAAGCTTTGTGCCCCTTTTTATTTCTGAAACTCCAATGCTTCACAGATTGGTCCTTGTGATGGTATCCCATAGGTCTTAGAGGCTTTCTTATTGTTTTTCAATCTTTTTCCTTTGTTCTCCTCTGACTGGATAGTTTCAAAATTTCTTTCTTCAACCTAAATGATTCTTCTGCTTGATCCAGTCTGCAAACAATGTTCACTGATGCATTCTTTATTTCATTCATTGACTTATTCAGCTCCAGAATTTCTGTGGGTTATGATTTCTCTTTGTTAAACTTCTCCCTTTGTTGTATTATTTTCCTAATTTTGTTAAACTGTCTTTCTGTGTTTTCTTGTAGCTCACCGAGTTTCCATAAAATAGCTATTTGAATGCTTTATTGGGTAAATCATAGATTTTCATATCTTTGGGTTCAGTTACTTGAAGATTATGATGATCCTTCTATGGTGTAATATGTCCTTCACTTTTATGTTCCTTGGAGTTTTGCAATGCTGTCTTTGCATTTAAAGTGCTGGTCACCTCCTCCAATCTTCACTAACTGCCTTTGGGAGAGAAATACCTTCCAACAGCCCTGCTTCTGAGCTTCTGAGGCTTTCTCTGGGATTCAGTTCCTCAACCTCTACCAAAAAATGTAACCTGAAAATGAACTCAATTTCATGAATATGGTCTGATCTGGACAGAACAAAATGTAATCATCACTTTGCATCTTTTGGGATGCAATTAATTACATTATTGATTTCTGTTGAATATATTGTACTATCAACTAAAACCCTAAAATCTTTGAATTGGTTTGGTCAACAGAAGCCTAATACATGTCACAAAGCTGAGATGAGAAATAAATGCTAAGGTTCCCTACAAGTTTTAACACTCTATAATTCTTTGATCCTGAATACTATTAGTTTCTAGGGAAAAAAATTCATATATACATCTCCAGCAGTTCCATTAACGCAGACACTTCCGGTGAAACCTCAAAACAGCTCTCTCATCTCACCTGGAAAAACTGTCAATAAAGAAGAACACAGAGACTGCATGTAGTTTGCTAGGGCATATATGAGGGCCATAATGAATGCAAGAATATAAAAATGGTTCATTCTTTTAAGAAGTGTCATTTAAGTTGGCATAAATTCAATCTAGAAGTACTGTACATCAGCCCTGGCTGGTGTGGCTCAGTGGACTGAGTGCCGGCTTGTGAACCAAAGGGTCGCCAGTTCGATTCCCAGTCGGGTGCATGCCTGGGTTGCAGGCCAGGTCTCTGGTAGAGGGGACACAAGAGGCAAACACACACTGATATTTCTCTCCTTTTCTCCCTCCCTTCCCCTCTCTCTAAAAATAAATAAATAAAATCTTTTAAAAAATTATTAAGATGGTAAATTTGATTTTTTAAAAAACTGCTATATACCAAATGCTTTCACAGTTCTCCAAAGAAAAAAATCTTCTGTATCAGTCAATTAACATTGCAATAGATCCTGAATAATCATCATCTGTTCTTTGGTATGCATATCACATAGTCAAAACTAGTAATACCGTTATTAAAACCACTGTCTCAAAACTAGTAATACTATTGTTAAAACCACTGTCTCAACACAAGTTTCATTTCAAAAGGGCGGCTTCCAAAATCATGAACCTATTTTGACAGATGTTTACCCCAAGCAGTGATTCCTAGCCTAAATTATAGAAAAGTGGGCAAACGACTGAAGTGGAGTGATTGCAGAAGAAACTGTTATGAGAACTGCTTTTACAGAGAATGAAGCATAATCTGAATACACTAAATTTGGGTGTAAGTTGACTATTACTGGCCTATAAACTCCTTGTAAGCAGAGATTCAATTGTACTGAGCCTGTCACCCTCAGCAGTCTGGGCAGTGCCAGGCACATAAAGAAGGTAGCTCTCAAGTGACTGACCACTGGGTCTTAACTGAGCAGCCAAGAGATAGCTGGGGAAACTGGGACCAGAGAGTATATATTTATGAAGAAACATAAGCACAGGAAAAGGTAGGAACATGTTCAGCACAAAAGATGAGACCTTGGAGTTCCAAATACCAACAAGGTACTTCATGCTCTGGAACTGTGGTCTACCGTGGCAAGCAGATTTCTGGAGGACAGGTGGTAGTCACAAGGAACGATGAAAGGGGGTCTCAAAGGAGCCAGAACGTATTTGGAAGTTGCTGGTGGCAGGGAAAATCAAGAGTAGTGGGAAGAGACAACCTAAGTGCCAAAGACAGAAGTATGCCCGAAGGCCCAGAGAGAAAATGGGCCACAGAGAGAATGCTGCAGAATGAGAACCAGCCAGCAGTGCAGAACTGAGCATGGTGACAATGACAGACCAATGGTCTGCAGGAGACAGACACCCTTCTACACAAACCCCCAGTGAGTCAGGGGAATGGTCCCTTAAAGAAGATTGCCCCAACATGCAGTGTCGGGGGAAAGCAAAGCTTCACTTAAGACAATGGAAGAGAAGGCACACATGTAAAAGCTGGACATACAAAACAGCTGACCAGTGCGCAAGCACAGAGGAAAGGCTAAGAAAAGAGCAGTGTGAGGTGCCTGGACAAGCCTGGGATGCATCAACAGATTAATGAGAGTTCGGAGCAAGAAGAGAATGGGCCCAGACAGGTGTGGCTCGGTGGGTTGGGCATTGTTCCTGCGAATCGAAAGGTCGCCAGTTCCATTCCCAGTCAGGGCACATGCCTGGGCTGCAGGCCCGGTTGAGGAAACCAATCAATGTTTCTCTCTCTCCTTCTTTCTCCCTCCCTTCCCTTCTCTCTAAAAGTAAATGAAATCTTTTTAAAAAGACAAAAACCCAATTTTTCTTTATAGTTTTTCGGAAAGTGACAATAACTTTTCCACAAAAAAATCTTGGCATAATTACAAAGAAGGACTCTACAAACTAAAATATGGAGATGCTCTAATTTTGGTGGAAAATTGTTCATATTTTGTAGTATACTATAATAAGACTTTAAATTAAAAAAAGAAATTAAAAAACCTATTTCCTGAAAGCACAGTAAATGAGTTGTGTCTGACAGAGTAAAACTATGAGTTCTAGCACATCATGTAAAACATATATCTGGACATCTTTTCAATTAATCCTGCTTTATTTGTTTTCTTCCCAGCCCCTCTTCCTATCTCTTAAGAGTCAGTAACATTTATCAAGCACTTTAGAGACAACTAGCAGCCCAAGAAAGATATGTTAGTGATTGCTTTATGCAGGAAAAAACTATCAAAAAATATATACGCTTCCTTGATTTTCCTAATAAAAACTACTTAAAACAGGCACATTATGTGTAGCAGCTAATGGACCTTACGAGTTTAAAAGGAATATTTTCTATTTGCTGAAGAACAGAATTGGTTGTATGGGAACACACGAATGGATTCAAATTTGTCCTTGATTTTTCTTAAAATGCCTCATCCCACTCAAAAGGATTATGTGAATATCATTAATATGACAGGTATTCCCCAACTTACAAAAGGGTTGTGTCCTAAAAGTTCATCCATAAATAAGCTTTGTGGAACTTGGACCACATTTTTCTACTGAAACAATTTTACAAAGGGTAGATAGGCTAAATCAGGCCACCCAGTAGAAATCTATAAAGCTAAATTTACTAGACCTATTGTGTTTTACTGAAGCATTTCTTGTCGTTGTTTTTTTGTTTTCAACTAACTACCTTATACCATTATTTCTTCAATAAATGCAACAGGAAACCTGGAAATACTTTGCCTTTCCAGTGCCCTGCATGTGCACACATGTGTGCACACCCCCCCCCCCCAACACACACCCACACCCCTCTCACCAGGTCTATGTGTCAAAATGTCTCTTACTCATCACACACACACACACACACACACACACACACACACACCCCACCCTCCCCGCGCCCCCCAGGTCTATGTGTCAAAATGTCTCTTACTCATCACTCACAGACACACACACACACCCCCACACCCACCCCCCAGGTCTATGTGTCAAAATGTCTCTTACTCATCAGAGTAAACGCGGTGAAGCATAGTTTAGAAGAGGGGCTCTCACGTTTGAAGGCTGGAGAAGGAGGGGTTACAGAGCTCACTAAGAGGCAGTGGTCATGGAAGGTCCTATAGTAACTCACCCTACTAGATCTCACAGATACAGAGGACTGATGGTGGACTATAACTTCCACAAGATATACCTCCCAGAAAGATGGTTAAAGAAACAGAAAATTCCTAATAATCACTTTTAAAATATTTTAAGTTTACAAACTGAAAGAAAAATAAGTTATTGGTTACTTCTGTGTACTTTAGTTGCATCCAAAGCCATAACAAGAATTTCTCCCCCTTGGCTGAAGAGATGGGGGAATCTCAGGGTCCTACATAGCAACCAAGTTATGGCTTCCTTGACAACAGCAATGAGCCCTCCCTCTGCCACACATACAAGATCCTGGAAACCACTGTCTAAGAGAGGCTGCCTATATTGAATCTACTTTTCTACTCTACCCAAAGGCATCTATTTTGATTGCTTTGAAGATTTTTAAGCCACAAGATTGTTTTAATGGATTCAAAAGGAGGGTGTCAAAAGCCACAGAGATAAAATGACTTCATTCCATATGTAAATATTTTCTTATATGAGTATTTAAAAATATGAAAGAAAAACACACAAGGATTCAATACTTGCATAAAACTAGCTGTTCTATTACTTAGGCCGAATACCAATTTCTGGTGGGATTTTCTTTTTTTAAGTTCAGAATTTTATGAGCACGCTTCAATTATGCAGTGCTACCATTATAACCTTTTTAATGTATATTTATAAAGCCCAGATCCAGAAATGGGATATGACTTTCCAGAAATCACTCTAGATTAATTGCGTAACTCAAGATTACCAGATTCTTCCTGGTCTCTAACTCAGCGGATGTCTATTTGACTTGCCTGCATAGGTGTTGGCCTTGTTCAGGAGGTCAGTGCACGCATGCATATCAGCAAAAGCCCGAATTCCTAAGCAGTTGACAGGGTGAAGTTGAGATTCCAAAAATTCACAGCAAGTCTTCTTCACATCCTGTAACTGTAACAGGCCAGCGGCTGGGAGAAGCACCTGCAACACACAGTTAAGCATGGTTAGGCAATAGGCTGGAAAAACCCTGTCACTATCATTTCTACATAGAGCACAAGACGTCTAGCCATAGTTTATGATCTGCATCCAGACACAAACACAGAAAAGTAATGTAACAATTATTTGCAAAAAAAAAAGAGTGATGCTTCTTCACATTCCCAAAAATGTCTACGGACTCTTTCAAAGGTCTCTTCTTAGTCTTAAGAATACATAGAAATTAGACCATACCAGATATAATAGTTGTTCTTAAAAGCATAAACGAAATGTTCCTTGGAGTTTTAAAAACGTAAAGTTGTTAGGATGCTAGGGGGTACTATGGTTCAGGGAAAACTATTTTGTTGCCTTAGCTTGAACAGGCATGAGCTTCAGTGATTTGTGGAGCAGGGGTGAGCCCAGAGTAACATGCACCAAAACAAAACCTCACTTTGTCCTTCCACTGTCTGAACAACACAGCGAACAGCTTTCCTCAGGGGCTAGAACAACTTTAAATTCCACAGTGTCTAGCTATAAGCAGATAGTGTTTCTAGAAGGTAACATATATGCTGAAAAAGAAAACATAAAAGCTAATTGCTTAATAATAACTTTTTATTTTGTGTTTTTATCTGAATAACTCCAAGAAATTTTCTTTAATTAATTTTCTTTAATGGGGCAGTCTATGGGACTTAGCCAGTATCTTCACTGTAAATATTACATCTAACACTACAGCTGCTTTTCAAATAGGTCAGTAATAAAAACATTTTTCCTTATAAGTGAATTACTACAGTGATGTGTTAAGGAAGATATCTGAAAGTCAAACTCAGAAGGAAAACTTCATAAAAAGAAGTTCTTGAACATCTGTTCTTTTATAAAAGCAAACAGGGGAAAAAAGCTCAGTATTAGAAAAGTGGTCAATTTTAGAAAGGACCGCATTAGCATAAAAAAAATAAATAAAACGTCTGTTCATTTCAATAATGACTTTCGTATCAGCGAATATGCAGCCCAAAGAGAAAAAAAAAATAATAGTTTTGAATATCTTTTACAATTTTCTTAAATCTGTGTATAAAGTCCTAAATGTGGAAGAGAAAGAGTGCACCGTGTCTTTCTGTAACATGACCCACTCTGTTTTCTTAAAGAATCCACAGAAGCTTTAACTGTCAAATCTACAGGCTGTGTGTGTGCGCCACCACGTACATAATCAAATGCTCATGAATAAAGGACTAAGAGGATATCTTGTGTTTCAGTCAGCCTCCACCAACTAATATTCATTTTTTTGATAACATAAAAACAGTATCTAAAAATAATGCCTTTTCCTTCTGAATTAAAAAAAAAATAAAGTGCTATTTATAGCCAAGCCTTCTATATAATATGCATAGTGTGTTTCCTTATGTTATGAGAATAAATCTCCATGGGAGACTTTAGTCGAGATAATTTGCATATTGAAGGATTTCCTACACTGGTATAATTGTGCTCTGAAGCAACGTAAAGTACACTCCAAGTTGCCTAACAATGCAGCCATTTAATTCAGCCGTAAGTAGAGTTAAGAAAGTGGTCTTCAGTGTAAGATTTAATCTCTGTGAAATTTGCACATAATGAGCACCCATCTAATTAGCATTTTCCCAGAGAAAACATAGTGTAGTACAGGAGTATTCAAATTACTTGATAGTACAGAAAGACAGAGGTACTTAGAGGGAAAAAAGTGACTGCGCAGAAACAGGCTCACTCGTGCACTGTGGCTGTATACAGAGATTGGCAAAAGGAGGCTTACAGTTGTGAGAACACAAAACAGTTTATTCTTGTATTATTGGTTATTAATTATTGTATTATTTTCCATATAACTTGTAAACCTACTTTTTGCCCATCCTGTATTGGTTCAACTTCCATGAAGAGTAATTTTCTATTTCAATCAAAATTACAAATGCCCATATCCTCTGACCCAACTTAACTTACAGATACACTAACGCACAAACTCTCATGTGTACAAGGCAATCATTAGAGAATTATTGTAGGTATAGTAGATGTTAGAAAAAATCCTAAATGTCTATCATAAAGACACTGGTTACTTAAAAGAATCTATTCAATGGACTACTCTGCAGTCATTCAAAAGAATAAGAAAACTGTACAAGTGGGATAATTTCTTAAGTGAAAAAAATTAGTGATCGGCTCATGCTATACCAGCATACACATATACATTCACACTTATATACGCATCCATTTTAAAAAGCACCCATAAAAGGCTTTAAAATTCTTATCTTGCTTAATTTCAACTTCATCACTACCAAATCCAGATCTACCTTATCAAGAGACTGAAATGCATAAAACTATATAATCTCAGATCTGGAAAGAATAAAACAAGTAAATCAAGAACATGAAAGTTATTTTAATTGTAGGCCATGCGGCTAGAAATTCTTAGGAATTTTTTATAGATGGCAATGATGAGTCAAGTGCCTCCCTGCTTGGCAAGCATATATGAAATATACCTTACATGTTAGTCACATGTATAAAACAAGTTTATTCATCTTTTCCTTTTGACACTAAATTCTTCAAAAATGCCTCAGTTTTATGATGCAATTTTACTAGCACTAAACATCAACAGCTCCTAATTAAGAAATTAATTACATATAGCTTCAAAAACAGTTCAAAATTGTCCCAGGCTTACTAACATGGCCCCTGGTGACCATTAGTCACTCATGATGAAAACAAGAAAGCAGCTATGGCCACATCAACATTCTAGATTACTTTGTGTATTATTTGGATAGCCAGGTAAACCAAACAAAATAAAAAATGCTCCAAATTTGTGATGACCCATATCCCACAATCAGAACCACTCAAAACAGCTGGCAGCCTTTGATAATCAAATCAAATCAAACCTCCTTATTTGTCTAATGAAGAAACCAAACCCTCAAGAGAGGCAAATGACTTAACCAAGTCATATAGCTAGCCAGGGGAAAGCTGAAGCTAAAATCAAATTCACCAACTCTTTGGTTTATTGTCCATTCCATTATCTTGAGCCCCATTTCAAGGTGCAGAATGTGCTTATCTGAGTTCTAAATCTCCAATATTATTCTTCCAGTAAGAGTAATAAAGATAATAATAATTTCAACAATGCATTCTTAAGAGTTGTTTCCATTTCCTGAGTAATTACCATGTCAGGCACTGTGCTAAAATCTTGGCAAGTAATAATACCTCATTATCCCCATTAAACTGCAAAGTTTCTTTTTAGAAATCAGCTGACAGTCTTATGGGAACTCCAAGCATTCTGATTGTCCTGATTGGTTTTTTGCGTCCTTCTGTTCCAAATCATTGACTTGATTCTTGGCTTCTTCCATTCTACTGCTGTTTCCCTGTAAATTGTTCTTTATGTCAATCAATGTATCCTTCATTTCTGACTGGATCTTTTTTATGCTGTTGAGGTCCTCACTAAGTTCCCTGAGCATCCTTATAATCAGTGTTTTGAACTCTGCATCTGATAGATTGCTTATCTCCATTTTGTTTAGCTCTTTTTCTGGACTTTTGATCTGTCCTTTCATTTGGGCCATGTTTGTCTCCTCATTTTGGCAGCCTCCCTGTGTTTGTTTCTATGTATTAGATAGAGCTGCTTCGACTCTGTGTCTTGGTAGTGTGGCCTAATGCAGTAGGTGTCCTGTAGGGTCCAGTGGCACAGCCTCCAGTATCACCCAAGCTGGGTACTCGAGGTGCTGCCTTCGTGTGGGCTGAGTACACCCTCCTCTTGTAGTTGAGCCTTGGTTACTTTTGGCAGGTCAATGGGAGGTATTTACCCAGGCCAGTCAGCTACAAGGACTGGCTGTGACCACTGACAACCAACCTCCGCCCTCCGTGGAGGATCAGCTGGGCAGGGGCAGGGGCAGGGTGGTGGTGCTCCAATATAGTCTGTAGCTGTCCACTAAGTATGCTGGCCCTGGGGTTTCCCGGTGGTGCAGGCCAAGGTTAGCTCCAAACTGTGTTCTGCCCAGGACCACCCTGAATGAGCTATAAAGCAATCTGAGATGGCTGCTACTTGTGCTAGGCTTGGAGATTCCCAGGCAAAGCCAAGCTGTGAATCTAAGCTGGCTGCTGCTAGTGCCAGACCTGGGGCCACTTAGCAAGAGGTATGGGGGCTTGGGGCTCACTGTGGCCAGCTGTTGCTTGTTTGAGAGGATTTAGAAAGTTGTGAAGCACAAGCCAAGACCAACCATTCATAGAGAAAAGCCACTTTTAACAGCTTGAGTGAACCTGTAAGTTGGGAGGGATGGAGCCTCAAGGGATCTTCCAGGCAGGGCAACCAGTGTTAGCCAGGTTGGTAGAGTCTCAGATATGGCACCTGTCTGCTGGCTCTGTGGCTCTGTGAGGAGAGGGTTCAGAAAAGGGGCAATGGCCTCTGCCCGCCTTTCTCTCTGTGAGTAAGCTGTCCCCCAGGTCTCACCTTGATGTCAGACATTTCAGTTCCTTCCTGTATGCCCCTGGTGCGTTTCAAGCTGCTACTCCAGTGCTGGAGCTCAGAGGGAGTGAGTCTGAGTAAGTCTGTGTGTGGGTTCTTTAAGAGAAACTGCTTGGGACTCCAAAAATTTCTTCCACGGACTCAATCCCTGCTGATTTTTGCAGCCAGAAGTTACAGGGTCTTAGCTTCCTGGCACTGGGACCTGAGCTGGGAGGGTTTGGTGTGGGGCTGGGACGCCTTGCTCCCAAGATATCACTCCTGAATTTTTATCCACCACACATGGATGTGGTACCAACCCATTCTGTCTCTGCCCCTCCTCCCAGTCTGGATGTATGTGTTTTTTTTAAATTCTGTAGCTGTCAGACTTCTATTCAACTGGATTTCTGACAGTTCTGTGTAATGGTTGTTTTATAATTTTGTTGGAATTTTGATGTGGTTGTGCAAGGAGGCTAGCCATGTTTACCTATGCTGCCATCTTGATCAGATGTCTCTGGGAAGAATGTGCTTTAATCTGGGGCTAGCATATCTCATTGCTTATTTTCTACAAAGTGGATAAACTATAGGATTA